TATAGTAGAATAAATCAAATAAATGAACAGTGAGGAAGAACCAATGATTAAAATAAGCCAAATCTCTGAAAAGCATGTGTGAGCGTCATTACATGGAGACGGTTCCTTTGGGAACTGGTGAATTCCTGTGTTGGGATCCATAAGGCTCAGTCTTGGCAGCCTCACTGGCCTAGGCTATACAAAGGGTATTGGAAACGGACATTCCTAATGGAAAGGTTATAAAATTTGGCCCTTAGAATAACTGAGACATATCCTGAAAAAATCTTCCCTGAAACTGTAATAAAGAAAGTTTCTTATTTACTGATAAAATTGACAACTCAGTAAACTATTTTCGCTGGTCATCCTACATAAGAAAAAAGCACAAATATATTTGCCTCAGAAATCTGTTAAAAGCAGGGAACCACGCAGTAAGAGTATAAAGATTCTATAAATGGGAGAGTCCAAGAAAACCTCTCTCCAAAGTGTCCACAAGGATACATACGCCCATTAGAAGAAAAAGTAAGAATATACATATTATTAATCATATGAGAGAATAAAAAAGTTAAGATTGATATAATATATTTATATTGAATGACTACTTTAAAATAGAGCAACTTATTTGCTTTATTTCTCAGATTCCTTGGGCAAGTCACTTAAATTCTGAAGTGAAAAACAAATGTAAATTTATTGTACTGTACCAATATCAAATGATTATAGTTTTAACTCCCAGAGAGAAAAACAGGTCTTGTCTTTTGAGTCTTTTTCTTTCTCAAAAAAACAACTAAATCATCCTGACTGCTATATGCATGCATATTTAAATCACTTCCCCTTGATTAACATTAAAAAGAAACATCTTCACTCAAAAGGGTTAACGAATTTTTCCAGCTAAAGGATAATCATTCTACAAATAATTTGCCCTGTGACTGTAGTCATTCATAACATACATAATATTTGCAAAGCACAGTTTAAATACACTGCCTCTTATTAGCATTGTTTTTTTTTTTTAATAAAAGGGATGCATATCAGAGTGTAAGAACTGGAAGATTATTTCCACAGTTTAAAGAATTAATAAGAGAATGCTGGTTCAAGTTCTTAAAGATGGAAATCTTACCAAAACACCATCATCAAAGGCTGTGAACTAGTTATAAACAGCAGGATACCCATTGGCTAGGCTGCAGTGCACTCAGGGCCCACCCCCACCCCCACGTTACCATTTTAAGATATTCTGTCAATGTTTAGTTAAAAATAAGACTTACTTAAGAGACCAAAAAAAAAAAAAAATGCAATTAAACTTTTATTGAAGACTATCCAGTGGCAAGAATACCTTGTGTATTATATTATGGTTTAGACATTCAATAAAGAATTCGTTAAGAATGATTTTCACAATGCATTCATCAAAACAGCCTTAAATATTGTTAATAGCGCATTCAGGCGCCAGTCCTGAGATCTAACAGGTTTTTAATTTAGATCGCCGACCATCTATTTTTCTCTTATTTTACTATCAAGAATTTAGGCTACATAGCTTTTTTTTTTTTTTTTAATCATGACTATTTGTTTCCATTCTGAGGCCAAATTTATTACCTGTCACTAATTTCCTTAACTTAAAAGTTTCTACCTCACCACAGAAAATGTCCAAGATTTATCTATGGTTAAAACATAAAATACATGCAAAGTTTTCAGATTTTCAAAATACATAGACTCAGTCTTATAAATGAATTTGTGTTTTCAACAAGTTTTAGGACTGCAGCAGAGGGCCGCCACGTAAAATCACCAGCACAAAGAATTGACAATTGTAAACCGCTGGTTCAATTATTCGTGGCTAAAATGTCTGACCAATGACTACATTAGTCCATTTTTTGGAAAAAAAAAAAAAAAAAAAGTAAACAACTCCAGAAATCCAGTTCTATATTGAGAACCATGTTAACACCATCAGCCCTTTCTTTTCCCAAATGTACTACTGGAATCTGATGGTTCATCGAAAGGAAAAAGCCATAAAAAAGAAATTTGTCCATCTGCAGCAAAAGCTTGCTGGCTTCGCATCCCAGGGGTGGGGGCTGGGGTGGAGGCTCGCCCGGAGCGGGAGGGAGGCTGGGGGAGGCCAGAGCGGCAAAGGAAAGTGGGAGAGGCGGCAGGAAGGGTGCTGGGGCCCTTCGGCCTAGCGGCTGCTGGTAATGTACGCACGCGTCCATTTGGTCTCGCCAAATCTCAGTAAAAATGGAGCCCAAATCTTGGTAAATCATTTCAGTAGGTTAAAAGAAGAATCTTGGTGATTTGCACCGAGTTTCTATTAGCCACTAAAACCCTCACTCATTGCAGGCTCCACAGCTCGGAGAGGTTAAGCTCGATGGCTGGCGCCCTGGGCCCCCTGCGGCCTCCCCGCCCCCGTCAGCGCGGCCCCCATGGAAAGAGGGGTGGACAGCACGGAAGGGGGCCAGCGCCAGGGGCGCGCGTGCCCGGCCGCGCTTGCCAGCCAGGGTCTGCCGCGAGGGCTCGAAGACACAGGCCGAGCCCGGGAACATGAGAGTGGGGGAGAAGAGGCTGGACTGGCCCGGCAAACGATCCCCCAGCAAGCAGGGAGCACGCGCCGGATGGGGTCGCGCCCGCGCCGCCGCCCGAACCCCAAGGAGGCAGATGGAGGAGGGAGAGAACAATCAAGAAACCTAGCCACCTTCCCCGAGGCTGCCTGCCCGGAGGCAAGTTCCGGGGCGGCCTAGGAGCCAGCGCGCAAGAGAGGGCGCCGGGTGCGCGGATTCGGCGGGAGCCTCTACCGGGATTTGTTTTCTTCCTCCCGCCCCACAGCCCGGCGGCTCCTCTCCCCACCCCGCGGGCCTCGAGGCACCAGCGCGGGCGTCCCCGCGCGCCTCCAGGGCCCGGGGCGGGGTGCGCCCAGGCGCACGCTGCGGCCCGGCGAGGAGAGCGGGGCGCAGGGGTCCGGGGGCGCAGGGGTCTGCCTTTGTGTCCCGGGCTGCCGCCCCGGCGCCCTGGACGGCCCCCCTGCACCCCCACCCTGGTGGCCACGGCTCGGATAGCACAAGGGCCGTGCCATATTCCCCTGCCGCTCGGGGCCGACCCGTCGCGCCCTCCTTCCTCAGCCTCCCGCCTGCTCGCAGCCTCTGCCCAGCCATGCCCCGCACCCCGCAGCCATCCTCCATCCCCATCGCAGGCCGAGCTACCCGGCGCGGGGGCAAGAGGAAGAGACAGACACCAACACCCTACCCTCTCCCCTGTTCCCGTCACCGCTTGAGGTCCAGAACTGTGGCCGCGCTCCCCACCAGCAACTACCTCTGCGCACAGGCGAAGATGCAGCGTCAAAAAAAAAAAAAAATTCAAAACTGGAAACGGCTGTCCTCACCCTCCAAGGGATAGCGGTAGGGATCCGAGCGCTCACTGTCCGAGGGCGGCTGCCACCGCGACGCGCAGCCCAGACGCAGCCCCGCGCAGAGAACGCACGTACACCCTTGGCGAGCGCAGGACACCGACCGCGCACGGGCAACCCGGTCCTCGTCAAGCCCGCCCCTCCCCGGCCAGCGCCCCGAGCCTCTCCGCGCCGCCCGCCCGCCGGCCAGGATGGGTGGGGAGAGAAGGGCGGGAGCGGAGGAGGAGGAGGAGGTGAGAAAGGAAATGGGGGAGAAAGAGAAAGAATCCTCCTCCCCCATTTGTAATAACTAGCCACCGAAGAAGAGGAAAAAAAAATCGGCCTGCCAATGGAGCACTTTTCAGCCTAAGCCCTCTAACTGCAGAATTCTCTTCCGCCACCTCCCACCCGCGCACACAACAGCCTCCTCACTGAATGAGCTGCGATAACAGGACCTCCAATTTGACTTCCATAGAGACTATTGGCGATGCGAGTTTCTATCAGTTCCAGCTGATTTATTACAATTGTCAAGATACAGACTTCCAGCACAAAAAAAAAAAAAAAACAGGCAAGGATGTCGACAGTGCATTGAGTCTGCTTTGCCACCATTTGCTACAAAATATGCAGATGGTCTGTACTTTATTTAGATTATATTGCACAAAATGAGAAACTTTTTAAACTATGTGCCTTCTTTTTTCTTTTTTGCTAATAATCGAGAATCCAGTTTCAAACCTTCCATCTGGGGCCCCATCCACATATCACAGCGTATGAGATACATAAAGTCCTACTATAGTACAGTACATATACAATCTTTAAACTAAGATAACAGCTCTGAGGTCTATATCACCATTTTCAATAAATCTTTACCTACAAATATTGAACAAATCTCTACTATAGCTGTACAAAAAAAAGTTTGCTTTTTTTTAACCACAAGGCCTTTAGATGCAAGGATTATTTTAAAATTTTAATCCTTTTTAAACCAGGACATAACGTACCAACATACTTGCATGCTAAAAAAGAGGGGAAAAAAAAAAAGAAATCAAAAGGGAAGAAGTGCCTGAAAGTCTTACTGAAAAAACACAGCAAGAATGTTCCCTTTTCACTGTACAAAAATACGCCTGAAAATATATTAATTTTTAAAAAAGACTGAGGTCTGTTATGTATCAAAAATGTTTCAATACCTTTTGTACTGAGGTCTAGGCTGTCTGGTATTCAATCAAGGAGGTATAAGGGAACAAGTTACAAAAAAAAAGTTGGCAAGTAGAAATCACATTTGTAAAACCATAAACAATTTGATCTGAAAAGTAAACTCTGATCTTAAGTCAGTTCACAGTTTTTTTTTTGTAAGCGTTTGTACAGTCTGCATTTTTTCAAGCTCCCTGCAGTTTTGTTAAGAATCGGATGCATAGAAGACATCAGTTTTCTCCCTCCAAAAAAATAAAATAAAAAAGTTGCAATGGTCCCTTTTTTGTTTTTGTGTTTGTTTAAAAAAAAATCGCCAGTTCTTTAAGATCTTTTAAGGAACAAAAAATCTCCAACCAACTCCCTAGCGTAACAGTTGTGCTGCCAAAAGGGTCCTCTGCAGACGTCTTCCAGACTTCAAAGACCGAGAGGCTTCAAACAGCGCCTTCCGGAGCGGGTCCCCCTCCCCTCCCCCCGCCCCGGCCCCTCCGCCTTTGTTGCAATCACGAATTTCAGGAAAAAGAAATAGTAATTACAAAAACACATTTTAAGGGGGGGGGGATCACAACTCCAGACTAGGTATGCAACTACCTTGAGACACGATAAAGGAAGGGAGGGGGACAAAAAAAGGACAGGAAAAATGTTTAAAAACTACTCATTTCACTTTAACTCCACCAAAATTTTCATCATCTTTTCCAAATTCTTTGTGTCACGACATCATCAATATCAGCATCTTCTCTCCCCTCCACCCGACCACCACCACCATCAACACCATCATCATCATCCTGGCCACCACGACTTCCTCCCAAGGAACCCTGCTCTGCACCCGCCGAGAGAAGGAGCCAGAAGCGGGGCGCCCCTCTCAATACGTGAACACCAGGTCGGAGAAGTTCGCCTCCAGCCAGTCCCCCGCGATCATCTCGCTCAGCTCGGGCGTGCAGTAGTCGGGGAACTCGAAGTGGGAGCCCAGGCTGCCCTCGCTGAACGAATCCAAATCCTTATCCACCAGAGACAGGGACAGGTTCCCGGCCGCCGCGCCGCCCCCCAGCTGCTGCTCGCTGGCGCTGTGCGCGCTCTGGGAGAAATTCAAGCTCAGGTCGAACATCAGGTCGTCGGCGTCCTCGCCGCCGCTGCTGCTGCTGCTGCTGCTGCTGCCGCTGCTGCTGCTGGACGAGGAGGACGAGGAGGTGGAGACGGAGCGCGAGGACGCGGGCGACAGCGCGGGCTGGGCGAGCGGCGGCGGGTGCTGCTTGGTGATGTTCTTGAAGCTGTAGTAGAGGCGGCTGCCGCCCACGGCGCCCGAGGTGGCGCCGGCCCGCACCTCGTCGTAGAGGCTCGCGCCCTCGGGGGACTCGGCCGAGCTGCTCAGCGTGGGGCTGGCGGGCACTTTGGCGACGTTGTAGCGTCTCAGCAGCTGCGGCGGCTGCTGCCCGGGCGGCTGCAGGAGCTGCGCGTGCGGCGGCTCGTCGTCGTCCTCGTCCGCCTCCTGCTTGATCCGCAGCTGCAGCTCGTCGTCGTCGTCCTCGTCGTCGTCGTCCTCGTCCAGGAACACGCACTTGACCG